ACCAAATGTTTGTAACGGTATCAAAAAATTTGGTAGTAGAGTATTTTATAATAAAATCATAATTTAACTGTGGTTCAACCGTTTTATATTGCTAAATATCACGTATCGATTTAGCCTATGGTGTGAAGTTTTATGGTCGAGCCGCCAGTACGTACGATCTTTCAATTCAAACTTTAAATAAAAAAAACTACTAAAATATTGACATTATCAAATATCCCTGAAACCTAAGAAATTACCATAATCGTATTAAGGAAAAAATCATCCAAATTATAATATAAAATTAGGATTTGAAATTGAAATTGAAAAAATGTGTCAAATATAATGTCTTCTTCTAATATAATCAAAACTCAACAGAAGAGGGCCAAGAATACCCACTAAGTAAAGCAGAGGATCAATTATTTCACACAATCTCATCCCCCCCCCCCCCCCCCCCCCCCCCCCCCCCCCCCCCCCCCCCCCCCCCCCCCCCCCCCAAGTGTGTTCCCTCACTCTCTCTCAGCCTTCCTCTTTGTTTTTCCGTTTGTTCTTCCGTCTCTCTCTCGGAGCTTTCTATCTCACCACTCTCCCCCTTTCCCTTCCTCTTTCTTCCCTTTTTTTTGAAAAGTTCCTCTTTCTTCCCACCGCCTAGAATCGATAGAAACCTAGAAACATCTCCATTACTTCTCCAATTTTGAGTTCGAAATGCTTCTTCTCCATTCACAGTCGATAGTATGAATCAAAGGACCTGAAACCTAGCAAAGAGATGGCCGCTTATTCCTTGACGGAGCAAAGTAGTTTGATAGCTTATGAATAAACTAATTACTAAAAGTGATAAAAACAGAATTCGTTAAACCAATCGAGTGAGTGTATAGTTAGTGCATCGCTTAAACCATTTTATTTATCTAAAGAATCACAGTGCACAATCAGTTTCATCTTCACTTATTTACATGTATTTTTCGTACAAATTCATTAAGCATAAAAAATGGTTTTGAATCTGCATGTCAAACTAAATCTCAGATACATAAAGGCAAAACATGGGTTGGAATTGTTCCATTTCAAATTTAGTGGTCTGAGAGAGATTCTAGGAAGATATTTTTTGTCATTGCACTCACTGCATCTTTATATATTAAAAATGTTAACATTGGAGTTTGAACATTGGTCACTCAAATGAAGAAAGAGCATTATAACCAACTAGACTACATTGTGTTTATTGTTTTTTTTAACTCTAGGAGTATGTTTGGTGATGATGCTTCTATATTTACAGTTTATCTTAAGTTATTTTTATTTTATAGAAAGACATTAGTTCTGAAATCGAAACTCAAGTAATATTGATTCAAACATTAATATTAAATTGTATGTGTAGTTTAATTTAGTTTAGTTAAGATAAAATACAGAAGTCTAACCAAAACATGGATCATTGTAACGAGTATAGTCATTTTTTTGAGAAATCTACACATAATATAATGATAAAATTGGAAAATGAGAGTCTCCTTTTAAATTTCGTGGCATGAGAGTGATTCTACGAACATTTTTTGGTCATAGAGCCAAATTTATCTTTATATTATGTTTAGATTTGTCACAAAAAATCACTATATATGTCACGAAGACCCATATTATGGCTACACACATGTATTTTATCTAAACTGTACCACACATACAATTTAATATTTAATGTTTGAATTAATGTTACTTGAGTTCCGATTTCACAATTAATTACTTTCTATAAGATATAATAATTTGGTTTATCTTCTTGAATTGTAAGTATACACTTAGCGAAGATTTGAAAAGTAGAGGAATTTTCCATCACGGTTAGCTATCCTATTAAGTCTTCTGAAAAGCAAAATTTACTACGTGATTTATAATTTTTTTATTACCTATAAAATGACTGGTAATCTTAAAATTGTAACACAAATTTCAATGCTTGAAATATTGCATATCGAATTGCAGTATTGAATATGCAAGATATGAAGAATTCTCTAAATTAATATGAATTTTCAAAACTACTATGAAACAATAATATTTTGTACAAACTATAGGTGGCTAGTTCTCTAAAATTTTAGCTTGGTTAATTGCTAAACATTATACATCTTGCTAATCTGGCATGAATGGACCAACAATAATGAGACGATATTGGGTTTAATGTGATGTTCATTTAGCCATTTTTGAATGTGTTGACCAATTTGAGGGCATCAACATATAAATGAGTTATTATTAACCTCATTATACAATTTTTACTCTTTATAATAATTAATTTAATCTTAATATATGTGATATTTGAAATATTTTATGTATGATTTAGAGATATACTTATTATTTGTGGCACCAGTGGTAGCTGGTTCAAATGTAGTATTTTATCAGGTAGTTAAAATCAAATAATGGGTGTATTTATGACTTTTTTTTATCTTGGTGTTGCGAATAGGTAAAACTTAATTATTATAATGCATATAACTATACCCAGGCACATGGCCGAGCTAGCATGACACAATTAGAGCATACCCCGAAGACAATGTATATGGATCGACCCTATACAAGCATGAATGCTTCATGGCACGTACCAGACTTAAACTTCAAGAGCTCGTGCACAATTACGAACACCACACATTATATATTGGTGAACTCAAGTTTTATGGAGAAATGCCCCACTTGAGAGGAATAAGCGGTCATCGGTTCACAAGGTTTTAGGTCCTTTGATTCACACTATCGACTGTGAATGGAGAAGAAGCATTTTGAATGCAAAATTTGAGAAATAATTGGGATGTTTCTAGGTTTATCTCGATTCCAGGCAGTGGGAAGAAAGAGGAAGGGAAAGGGGGAGAGTGGTGAGATACAAAGCTCAGAGAGAGAGAGAGATGGAAGAACAAACGGAAAAACAAAGAGGATTATCGAGGACCTGCTGAGCAAGTGTAGCCATTACAGTCTCATCCAGCCTAATCCACACCTATGTTGATTGACCTCGAGGATGTAAGCCCTTGAGAATGCCTAACTTAGCGGTGGAAGGGTAATATCTGCTGGCATCTCAAAGCAAACCCATCGTTCGCCGACTGGAGAAGGAGCTCGTCTGCTTGAGCTTCGCCGATTGGGGAAGGAGCTCGCCGGATCGATCTTTTCTCCCTGCGCTAGAGTTTGGGGAGGTCGAGTTTGGGGGAGGCTAGGAGAAGAAAGATGGGAGCTGGGGTTAGCAAAACGACACCGTTGGTCTAAGTGAACAAAAGGTGGGAAAAAGTGGTCGAGGGATTCGAACGCTGGGCTCATTAAAAGGAATGAGGGCGTAACCCGTTGGGCAGCGGGAAATCCGTCCCTCATTTTCCAGCAAACGATCTTTTATTGTTTCCACCCAACTGCCTCTTTTATTCCCCATGGTTTTTTCCAACGATAATGAAATTGCAAGTGAACACGTTTCTTACCATTTGTTTTTTGAGTTTTGTTCACACCAGAAAACTAATTGGCAAGTGAATGGGACATAAGAGAGAGCGAGAGTACACATTTAAAAGAGGGGGGAAATGAGGTAGTGTGAAATAATTGGCATTATGCTTTGCTTAATGGGTATTCTTGGTCCTGTCGAGTTTTGATTTATTTTAGAAGATGGCATTATATTTGATAGATTTTTTCCATTTCAATTTAGGGGCCGTTTGAAAATTGTGATTGTTTTGTTGAGATTGTTACTATGATGTATTGTTTAGAATGCATCATTTTTATTTTTTAGAAGAAACAATACATGGATTACATTTGTGATGTGACATAAACTATCACTAAAAATGAGTGATTGTTATATCTCAACTTTTAGTTGTGATTGTTGAGATAGTTGAGTTGAAATTGTTTTGTCTCAGCTTTTAGCATATGTGACATACACAATGCATCTAATCCGACAATACATATATATATATATATAATATCATACATGCATTCACATCAAAACATCTATTTAACAATCGCAACTTTCAAACGACCCCTTAAAATTCTAAATCAATATTATCATTTGGATGATTTTTTTCTTGATACGATTATGATAATTTATGAGATTTAAGGGTATTTGATAATATTAATATTTTAGTGGTTTTTTGTTTAAAGTTTGAATTGAAAGGTCGTACGTACTGGCGATTCGACCATAAAACTTCACACCATAGGCTAAAATCGATACATGATATTTAGCAATATGAAACTATTGAACCACAGTTAACTTATGATTTCAGTATAAAATACTCTACTTCAAATTTTTTGATACTATTACAATCATTTGGTTCAAACAATTCTTTTACCTGTTAACAAAAGTATTAAGGCATATTTTAAACGATCTATTGCAAAAAAGCATAAGTCAGTTAGCGATAATGAGAATATGCGATAATGAGAATATGCGATCTCATTCAACCCAAAAGACACTTTGCAACTTCTATATTTTTAAAATAAATGTATGTTACTTAAATCTGCGAAGGAATGCATATGATTCTTCCCAGTCACCAAACACGGCGGCCATTGCTTTCTGTTTTCCATGCCACGCCTTCTTGTAGTTAATGATATAACCATAACGACTAGAAATGTCGGCGATGATGGTTTTAACCTTCAGGTCGGGCTGCTCCTCAATTAGATGTTTGATAGCCGCGAAAACCACCCTTGATTTCAACTGTCGATGACCTTGGGATGTTATTGATGACACACATGTGTGTGTGTTCACCGAACGGGATATGACCCAATGGCCGACTCTCTTGCTCTTGATGGCCCGGATCTAGGGGTGGGCATACGGTTTGGTAAAACCGAACCTAACCAAACCGAATTCAAACCGAACCAAAACCGAATAACATTACTTCGGTTCGGAATTCGGAAGAGAAAACGGTATATTTCGGAAACCAAGGTCCTTTCGACCAAACCGAATTTCCGAAGTCCGAACCGATTTTCCGAATTACTATAATTGCAAGTTTCTAATGGTGAATTTTTATGTTTGTACTTATTATGAGACTTAAATATTTGAATTATGTTAGTGTTTTATGAGTTATGTGTTGAAATGTTTGATTTTATCATTGATGATGCATTTAATTGCATATTTATTGTTTACATTAGGGGTGAAAAATAATTTGAAAGAGAAAAAATACAAGCTAACCTCACAATTTTGGTTTTTCATACAAAACCGAACCGAACCGAATTATAATTTGGTTTGAACCAACCGAATCGAATTATAATTCGGTTCGAATTCGGTTTGAGGTTTGATGGAACTCGGAAACCCGGTATACATTATTTCGGTTCGGTTCGAATGCCCACCCCTACCAACCTCTTCGTGTCGGAATGGGTTGTGTGCCATTCAAAACTCCGAATCATTGCTTCAGTGGCAATAGCGTGCCTGACCTCATTCTTCGTTGCAAATTGTTGGCCCTTCGTAAAGCTAGTGAGTGGACCCCATACTGGCACCTCTGACGGGTCCATGTCGGCATCAACATAACCGTCTTCATTTGGAATGTGATTGTAGTACGGGATAGGTACACGTTCGCGAGGTACCTCATCACCGTCTGTGTCTGACATCATCCTCTTCTTCAACCTCAGGGTCACTAACTGGCCTTGGATTGAAATCTTCTTCCATTTGATGATCATCATGAAAGGCACCTTCACCTTCACCAGCTCCATAATGGTAGTTGTGGTAACTAACGCCGCTTTGGTAGAAGTTGTACTCGGGTGGGTACTGGTAGCTTGCTTGTTGGTTCCCATCCGCCTGTTGAGCTTTTTCTTCATATGATGGGAAGGATTGATGATGACCTCTAGTTCCATCATGATACTCCTGCCTCCAGCTCGAGTCTTGGTACTCCTGGTGGGGATGATCTTCATATAATATACTCCCACCGTGGATACCAGATGTTTGGTCTTCTCCAAAATGACCTACACCGTCTTCGACCGCCTCGGTATAAACGAACATCTCCGCTTGTTTAATTTTATTGGTGGTCAAAAATTGGACCATGGCATCAACGTCCTCCTGAGTGGTAATGAGGAATTCCTCATTCCACAGCGACCCGCCATGTCTGTTTGGATATCGATACACCATACGATCAACTCTTCTAGTGCCATCCATGCAGGTAACCTCAATGCACATTTGATGGAGCTCTTCAAACATCGGTCTCGTACGGACCTTCATTTTATAAAAATTGCCACCCACGTAACTTACACCCTTTTCGGTCTCTTCCGTGTAACATTCCACCGCAACCCACGCGTGAACCTTTGGAATGCCATCTGCAATAAAACTGTAATTAAGTTACTAACATAAAAATCAAAAATGACAATGAAAAGTAATACAAAACAAACTTACGAATTAACATTAATCGCAAAAAACTAAATAATTTAAAGGTGAACAACTGAAATTTGAAGAAGAAGAAGGAGTGGAGTGACGATTTTGAGTTTTCTGGACCTGCCTTTTATAGCCAAATTTTACACTACAAACCGCGCGCGCGGGGGGGGGGGGGGGGGGGGGGGGGGAGTGGTATTAGTCTGGCATGCAGCCCCCACCCCTGCAACCTCCTGCATGCCGACATGTCGGATGTCGGGTAACGAGGCACAAACCGCTGGGGGGGGGGGGGAGGTGCGGTTTATGTGTCGACATGGTAAACTGCTTCCCTGTGGAGCGTTTTACCATGCCGACACATAACCTCTCCTTTGAAGAGCGCTTTTTCTAAAATAGGCAAACCGCTTCTCAACCAGGCGGTTCTATGGTAAACCGCCGCCTGAGTGGCGATTTCTGTTAAACCGGCCCTGAGTGGAGTGTTTGTAATAAACAGTGGTATATTTGGAAATTCTTGGGAATGGGTGGTATTTTTGTATTTTTTTTTAAGACAGTGGTAGTTTTGGACTTTTTTCCGTGTGGTGGAGCTCTTGAAGTTTAAGTCGGGTACGTCCCATGAAGCATTCATGCCTGTATAGGGCCGATCCATATACATTGTCTTCATGGTATGCTCTAACTGTGTCATGCTAGCTCGACCAGGTGTCTGTGTATAGTTATGTGCATTCTAATAATTAAGTTTTTACCTATTCGCAACACCAAGATAAAAAACAGTCATAAATGCACCGAGTATTTGATTTTGACTACATAATAAAGTATATCTCTAAATCATACATAAAATATTTCGAACATCACAAATATTAAGATTAAATTAATTATTATAAAGAGTAAAAATTGTCTGATGAGGTTAATTATAACTCATTTATATGTTAATGTCCTTAAATTGATCAACACATCCAAAAATGGCTAAATGAACATCACATTAAACCCAATATCGTCTCATTATTGTCAGATACATTCATGTCAGATTAGCAAAAGGTTTAATGTTTAGCAATTAACCAGACTAAAATTTTAGAGAACCAGTCGCCTATAGTTTGTACAAAATGTTATTGTTTTGTAGTAGTTCTGAAAAATTTATATTAATTTAAAGAATTCTACATCTCTTTTGCATATTCAATATTGCAATTCGATAGGCAATATTGAAAGAATTGAAATTTGTGTTGCAAGTTTAAGATTGCCCGTCATTTTATAGGTTATAAAAAAATTATAAATCACGTATTAAACGTTATTTTTCAGAAGACTTAATAGGTTAGCTAACCGTGATGGAAAATTCCTCTTCTTTCCAAACCTTCGCTAAGTGTATGCTTACAATTCAAGAAGATAAACCAACTTATTATATCTTATAGAAAGTGATTAATTGTGAAGTCGGAACTCAAGTATCATTGATTCAAACATTAAATATTAAATTGTATGCGTGGTACAATTTAGATAAAATACATGTGTGTAGCCAAAACATGGGTCTTCGTGACATATATAGTACTTTTTTTGTGACAAATCTACACATAATATACAGATAGGGTTAATTGCATGGTTGGTCACTGAGATTACAAAAAACGTTCAAGTTTGGTCACTCAAAATATTTAAATCCACTGGTGGTACTTCAGTTTACTGAAACTGTTCACGTTTGGTCACTCTCCGTCCAACTCCGTTAACTTTTGCTTACATGGTAGTCAATTCTAAAAGTTGACTGTAAAATGAGTGAGGTGATAATTAAAAAATGATTAAATAATTTAAATTTTTAAAATTTCCACCTCATTTCTAACTATTAAAAATATAAATATAAAATTATAAATTATTAAAATTAAGAACGAACGACGAATCATCCCTCCTGTTCTCCGCCGCCACATTATTGTCCACAAACAGTGGTGATTGCTGTCGTTTCTGCTCAGATAAATCCTCTGAAGCCGAGGCCAATACCGCGAAACCAGAACCCTACCAGGTCGCCTTTTGACGAGGAATTGAAATGGAACTGGGCAGCAGCTTTGTCGACCAAAACCCAGACTCAGTAACTGACAAACGGGGAGAGAAACATAACGGCATCATCTGCCCGACCGAATCGAATTTGCTTCTCCACTTCTCAATCTTTCCCCCGACTTGAACCAATCAGCTCCCACTTCATCGCCTTCTTACACCAATTCCTGTACGGATCTCTCTTTATCGATCTCTCGCTGATCGAACGACAACTGGGCTGGTAATGGGGTTTCTTTGATTGGTAATGCATGGTTGGTGAGATGGCTGGAGAAGGATCCGTGCTCGCTCCGTCACTGGAAGGGATAAAGCATGTCAAGTCGGAACAAGGGTAAATACTCACCAAGCCTTTTCTGGATGTCGCAAATTGATCCTCCCCGTCATCGGTCAGTTCTTCAAGAATAATTGTGAAATTGGAGATGGGCTAAGATTCAAATGTGTTTCGTGGGGTTGATAGCTGATAGATAGAACCGCCGTTGGTTCTTAATTTTTATAATTTATATTTATATTTTTATCTTTTTAGTAGTTAGAAATGAGGTGGAAATTTTAAAATATTAAATTTTATTTATTTAATTATTTTTTAATTGCCACGTCACACATTTAACGGTCAACTTTTAGAGTTGACTGCCATATAAGCAAAAGTTAACAGAGTTGGACGGAGAGTGACCAAACGTGAACGGTTTCAGTAAATTAAAGTACCACCAATGTATTTAAATATTTCGAGTGACCAAACTTAAAAGTTTTTTGTAATCTCAGTGACCAACAATGCAATTAACCCTATAAAGATAAATATGGCGCTATGACGAAAAATTGGTTCGTAGAATTACTCTCAGGCCACGAAATTTACAAGGAGACTCTCATTTTCCAATTTTATCATTATATTATGTGTAGATTTGGTAAAAAAAAATGACTATACTCGTTACAAAGGTCCATGCTTTGTTTATACTTCTGTATTTTGTCTAAACTAAACTAAACTAAACATACAATTTAATATTAATGTTTGAATCAATGTTACTTGATTTCATAACTAATGTCTTTCTATAAAATATAAATACTTAAGATAAACTATAAATATAGAAGCATCATCACCAAACATATTCCTAGAGTTTAATACAAAAAAATAACAATAAACATAATGTAGTTTAGTTGGTTATTATGCTCTTTTTTCATTTAAGTGACTAGAGTTCGAACTCCAATAATAACATTTTTAATATGCAAAGATGAAGTGAGTATATTATCTTCATTTAAATGACCCGAGTTAGATGAAGTGAGTATATCTTCATTTAAATGACCCGAGTTTGAACTCCAATGATAACATTTTTAATATATAAAGATTAAGTGAGTGTAATAACAAAAATGATCTTTCTAAAATCACTTTCTAAAATCACTCTCGTACCACAAAATTTGAAATGAGACAATTCTAACCTATGTTTTGCCTCTATGTATCTAGCAGATAACGTGGGTGTACGAGAGAGTTCGCTTAACATAAATTTCTACAGACAAGGTGTATAGTAGCTTACAAGGCCAGTATCAGTATGGCTGCCCCCCTCTAAAATTGTAAAAAAAAAAAAAAAAAAAAGGACAAAACTTCGACAACTCCTACCAGACGTATCTCTTCTTCCATAAAGCCTTACGATTTATTCCTTACAGAAAGTCTATGTTACAAGTTTTTGTGTCACAACTTCCTGAGCCTTTTGTTGGCACCATCCCTTGCTGAAGTTGTGGAAGAGGAGGATGACAGTACATTGCGGTTCTCGGCCTTGTCTTTGGTAAAAGCCTTCTGGACATCATCCTTAAGCTCCACGTAACGGGTCCACTTCATTCGTTGCTCCTCAGGGGTACCCTCGTCGAGGTAGACCACATCAGGATCCTCCATGAACTTATCAAGGACTTCTGAGCAGTTGGGGAAGAAGCGTCGCCCAGTTTCCACTGTCATGATACGTTAACCATAAAACTCAAATCAGAGATAATAAAACAGATGCCAACTGAAGAACCAAGTGAAGCTGTGAAAGACGCTGATTTTCACCTGTTTTCTTTAGCGCTTCCAACTGGGAAAGAAGTCTTTTCTTCTGCATCGCTGGTGTCTCGTTCAGGTCTACTTCCCTCAGGTTCCCATTGGAACCTTTTGATGCAGCAAGACCAGAAAACTTGGGTGCTGTAACAGCACTTGCAATGTCCATTGCTAGCTTTGCTTCAGTAGGAAAGAACAGCTTTGCAAGTCCCACTGAGAAACGAGCCACACAATAAATACAAAATCAGAAATCAGAACGTGCCTACTTGAATGAAATGCCGCCAACAACAACAATGAACAAGTAAGCCCGTCAATCAACACTCACAGAACAAGATGAAACATGTTTCGAGTCCAACTGTAAATCAAAATACAGCTCAACACTTGTAAATTAGCCATCCACTACTAGAATTCGAACGTTAAAGGCAAAATGATTATACCTCTGCTCTCCAGGTAGGACAGCTTCATTTGAAGATCCTCATCATGTGTATGGGGAGTTGCCGTACCATCCACACCCATAGGCGTCCTCCTCATCTCCCTCTCTAGAACTTCAATGCATAGCTTGTCCTTATTTGCCGCCTGACCCTGTTCTGCTTTCGAATGATAATCTTTGGGCCTAGTCGATCTCTTACAAATGCTAACAGCAGTTTGCCCATCTCTTGTGGCATCTGAAGCTGAAGCCCCCTTCTCCAACAATGACACCAGAACAGATGGCTCCCTCCTCATCGCAGCAATGTGAAGAACCGTGTAACCTCTGGAATTCCTAAGGTTCACATCAGCAAGACGAAGGTTAAGCACCTCCTGGACAACCTTGGGGTCACAGTATGCTGCTGCATAATGGAGAGCATAAGCATCATCTAAAGTCACATTAGATTCTGTCAGGAGAAGTTTCACAAGTTCCACATCATCCGAGTCTAACGCCTTGTGTATTCTTTTGATTCTCTTTGCAAGCAAGCGGTCCTCCTCAACATCCATGCTTTCTTCGTCATCGGAGACAGGCTTGCGGCGGATCAGTTTAACATTCTCAGCCACCTCAAAGGGCAGCTCCTTTTCAATGCTGACGTCATCTACGTCTGATCGTGCTATTCTGTCCACACATTGATCAACGAGCTGAGTTGACTGACAATGGAATGCAACCACAAGGATTGGGATAACATCTTCAACAAGAGCCTTGTCAACAAAGTTATGAAGGCGCCTCTGCGAAAATATGTAAGTAGGGCTTCATGTGAGCAAAGACTGGAATTTTCATGACATTTTTACCAATCATCTAAGCACAACACTCAGCAAGGTTACATGAAGTTGAGCACTAGGGACTAGCAGCTAGAGATGGTACACAGCATGCCAATAAGAAAGGTGAATTCCACATATTGATGCTGAACTAATAAGCTTTCAGTTTCATTTGAAGGAAACATTAGTAGATCACTGACCTGGAAGAGTGAAACCAGCTCCGGTAATTGAAAGATGAACGAGGCATACATCAACTCCACAGCAAAATTAATTGCAGGTCGACACGCATCATGAGCACAGTCAGTATGGACACAGGTTGAAACCTCCATCGGAAACGGCTTAAGTTTCCCAGTATACAAGTAGCTCAAGAAAATCAGGAAGGCTTCATGTCCAATCTTCCCGTAAGGTAACAGGTCATCCATAGTATACTTGGGTTTCCCTTTCCCTTCCTTCTCCGAAGATCCTTTATCCCGCTTAAATAAATCATGGAAGAACTTACTCCTCACAGAAAGAATACATCGGTGAACACCAACAGGTTTCCCCTCAACAACTATTTCAGCATCACTAAAATTACTAGCGGTATCTGTCAAAAGAGACTCTAAGTTGAAGCTAAGTTTGGTCAAGCTCCGCACATCGAGACTTGGAGCTGTTTCAGAGACAGGCGAGCTGGACAAGTTGTTGTGACCAATTGAGCCGTTCGACAGGTGAGATGACGATGTGAAGCTCAAAGACGACGACGGCTCAGACATATTCGCCATTTAATTCACGAAACCAACTGCCTATTGAGAATCACTACTGCATACCTCACCTTACTACACACCCAACATCCTTCTCTACGCTCCTTATTCTAAAGAAGATGAACAAACTAAGATTTACATGTATATGGTATCAAAGTGAAAGAAATTTGTATTTCAAATAGGACCCAAAAGAGTTAAGAACAAAAAGATGAGAACTTCTCAGAAGATGGTCAGTGGGGAACCACCGATCCAAGAAGTCAACGGCGAAGCTATTAAAATGGTGGGTTCCTTCCAGGTTCGTATGGAAAAAGCGCAGGCAGCCCAGTTAGGAAACCGCAGGGGAATTACCTCCGAAAGCCGGGAGGTGGAGAGTCAAGAACATTGAATGACCCACTATAATTTGTCGTCATCATCCAAACAAGGCACGCACCGCAACCCGGAAACCAAGTCCGCGAACTTTGCTGCTTGAATTTCCAAGACCACCAAGTCAACATAGTCCGTTGACAATCCACCCCAATTCATCAAAGGAGCTGAGACAACAGCTACATCACTTTCAGCTAAATATGTGCAGAGAGTGTTTGTGGTGAAGTTGAGGAAGCAGAAATCAGTAGCGACCAGGAGAAGAGCGAGCTACATAGTCGGAATTGGGAAGCGAAACTTCAGATCTATTGCAGATTGGGTAGGAAAACAGAGACTGACTGACAAAGAGAATGGAAAGGGATCCAAGTGAGGGGGGGAAAGAGAATCAAACAGCAGCAATGGAAACCAGAAAGGGATAGAGATGAATGAAAGTGGAGAAACAAAACAGAGGGAGGAGAGAGAAAAAAAATTGGAAAACGAAGGGACAGAGGTGTGGGGTAACTAGATTGAAGAACACATGGTTAACGTGAGAAGAGAAAGCATCGGAAGCTTCATCTTTCGCTTTCCATGCTGCGCGGCAAACCAGGGACAGACACAGAAAGGAGAGAGAGAGTAAGAGATAGCTGAGTGATAAATGGGGGAAGGAGGGAATCAGGGGAAAGAAGGGTCGGAAGGCCAGGGGGGAGAAGAAAGGAAAAGGGAAGAGAAAGAGAAAAGAGGCGGTGGCGGGTGACTGAGGGAGAGGGTGAAGTCGTTTGGATGACGGTGGCGTTGCCGTCAGCAACGCTAGCCGTGTTCGGTTGACGCAACCAATGACGGCATCGTTGTTCGATTATCAAACTACACGTCCCCTCACCCACCCTGGGCCCAGCGAGTGGCAGAGGCACCATGGGCCTACCATACATTTCTCAACCGTAGCAAATGCAACGGACGGCCCACCATCCACGAGTTGGTAAAGCATCGTGTGATGCGGCTATTGAAAAAAGTTATTTGCAAAGACACAATCTACTGTACGTCTAGACACGAAATTACTATTCATTTGGACTCAGTTTTACTGTTCATCCTTCCTTCATTGGTCCAAGCTCTGTGATTGGGCCCGCCTGCGTTTTCTGATTGGTTGGCTGCCTGCGTCTGGGTCCCGCCGTTGTTGCTGTGTGTGCCGCGTTGCCCTCAACTGGACGCTTATCTTCACTTCGAGTTTCGCACCGGCCTCAAATCGAGTGTACTTTTCCCATCTGGTCTTATTAGTTATGATGGTGATTCCCTCTGCCCAAGAATTTTTGGGAACTTCACCATCACTGTGAGGAGATAAGGTTGCTGTTTGGGAGGAGTGTAAACAGCCATTTTTCGCTGCAAACAGCCATTTTTTCCAAATCTTCTCCTTCTCTTACCTCTTCTCACCATCTTCTCCTTCTCTCTTCCTCTCTTTGCGACCGCCAGAATCTCCAAAATCCTCCGCGATGAAGCAGCCAGCTTGCCGAAAAAGGAGCTCCGTCATACGCTTCGATCGACGACCAATCCTATTCCTCTGTATCTGATTTCTTTGGCCGGAGAGGAGGGAAGGTGTGAACCACGATGTTGGTGGCGAGTTCTAATCGATTCGGGTGAGTTTTGGTATTTCTTTCTCTCTCAGAGTCTCTAAATCGGTTTGATGTGGGGTTTTCATGGTTGATTACGCATCTTACTTTCAGATATGCTCTTGGGTCGCAAGAACCGACCGTCGCGAAGTTAGGTCTCTCCCCCCCCCCCCCCCCCCCCATCGGAGGAATTCCCACGGCATGTAGTTCTGTGGTGGATGCAGGTACGAAGATTGTTCCTTCCAGGTTTACAGTCGTGGGTCTTTCTCATGAACCCCCAGCTTCCTCATCTCTCTCTATTCTAAATTTCGTTGACCCGGCCCGAAGAGCAACCGTCGTCGGCGTCCGCTCGCTGTTCTCGCCACATATTTTTGCCTGTTTTTCCTGGGATTGGTTGGCGAACATGGGAGTTCCACTCATGATGCTGAACAGAACCGGATTTGCCGATTCGGGTGAGCTGCTTAGCTTTGTGCCTTTTTATTCTTTCAGTCCCTTTTGCTATGGAAGATTATTGATCCTCGCAGGTACTATCTCTTCTGTTTTTAAGGTCCCTCTATCTCGATTTCTTTGTGTTGCAGCAGTTATAATCTCCGCTTTCTTCGCTTTGATCGCAGGGACACTTTCTTGCGTCAGGTGCTTTTTAGATGATTCGCTGGTAGGTTAGGGGAATTGGTTTTTACCGCTTAATTCATGTTTCGTTCCAGGGTGACCTTCGTGTCTTGATTTTGGCTTTTTTTTTTCTTATGCAGGGAGGGTTCTGGGTGGCCCGAGTTGTCGTGAGGATCCAACTCACAGTTTTCTGCCTGTGCCATCACTGCTTTGTGGATTCGGGTTTTGGTTTAAGGTGATTGTTCTAGCTCTTTCAATTGGGTGTGGTGCTGTTTATCGCAGTGAGGAGACCATATATTTTCTGTGCAAGAAACTCTGCGAAAATGGGAAGGCAAATGCTGATGGGTCTGATCTTTTTGTTGTGTTCATCTCCAATGAAAAGAAGGCGGTAGGGTTCTTAAGCAATTCGTTCTTGAATATCTTTTGCTGATTTGGGATGATGGCTATTTTGCTGCATCTTTCAAGTCTTTGTTATTTCATTGTAGATCCCGCTATGGAATCAGAAGGCGAGTACACGAGCAGATGGGGTTGTGCTATGGGATTATCATGTCATATTAATTCAGGTGGATTCTCGCTTAACACACAATGTTTGTGAAGATATGTTGATCAAGTTAGCTGAGGGGTGAAAATAGAGTTTGGCTTATGGTCAATGTCCTTTTTGACATCCTGAATTCCTCTTATTGAATAGAAATTGCCATTCGATGTATGTGCAGAGGAAAAGAGATGGTGATGATGATGAAACTTCTTCAACTTTGGTATGGGATATGGATTCCTCTCTTCCGTTTCCTTCGCCTCTCGATTCCTATCTGTCCGAAACAACGAGGCCATCCTTTGAGCTCTTCTCTGACTTTCTGAGGTAGTGTGTAAGTCGTGATACAGATTTTATCTTCTTTGATAAGTGGATCAGTATGTGCCTATAGGAGGAAGTTGAATTTGTCTTTTCATATTATCACTTGCCTAACCACTTGGAGTTTTGAACTTCTTCCATGTACTGGTAGTGCATTGATTTTCTCATCTCTCAACCAAGCCAATTCATTGTTTCACAGTGTATAATACATTGTGCAATGTGAAACAAGTCTCACCTGATTTTGGTATGGTAACAAAACAGTTATAAGCGCTTCAATCAATAATCACTTTGTTATCAGGTTTTATCGTGTCGTGCATGCTCCAGTATTTCTCCGCGGATTTGCTTGTGATAGAAGTCATATGAAAGACTCTACTGGTAACTGGAATGCTCAACCTCCTGCATATGAACCCATAACTGCAGAAGGTGATTGACTTGTATGGATTGCTGGCTTGGTCTTAACTATATGTATTGGAACATTTTGATATCTTTTCAGATGCCCTTTATCGTCCATAAATTGATGACTCTAACTTGCTGTGTTACTTCTTTGAATTTTTATTCAGTGAGGAATGCCTCAACAGGTGACTCACTCTTTTAAGTTCATTCTCCCCAGTTAGTTATCCCATTCTTCTTTTCTTTGATCAATTACTCTTGCTTGCTGTTTTTGCAGTGTATATCAGCGGTCTAGACTTTGAACTATCAAGGACACTAGATCGTAACTGGCAAAATTTTGCTAAAACTGTTCTTTCTTACTCTCCTCTTTAGCTTCACGCTTCAATTCTTTGTTTTATTTGCTCAGTTTCTTACTGTTGGGTTCGTTTTTTATTTGAAATCGGCTTCTGGTGTGCTGCTGTGGAATCATGTTGGGAGCTGCGATGTGAAGGTCCCAATAGGAACAAAATTAATTGTAGGGTTCTAAGCAATGCTTTCAGGTAAGTCTTGAATCTTATTCCACTGGGCTTTCTCTTATCAAGGTTATTCCAATTAGGACGAAAGTCTGATAGTTTTTTTTTGTCTCTGCAGGCTTTATTTGGCTATTGGTTAACATCCAACTTCTTCTCATGATTATATGGTTTAGGTAAGTTACTACCTTTCTGCTATCTAGATGGCCTCTGCTATCAATCAGTAGTCATTTCTTTGGTTTCTCTTTATCTGCGAAAGGGGAAGTAGAATATGCTAAGGAAGACGAAACATATATATTATCTTGAAAATTGAACACAGGGTTGTTATCTCTGATCTTCTCGCACGTGCCTGACTCGCTATAACACAACTCCAAACAATGGTCAAGTGTAACCAATGAAAGGGACTGCAGTATAGTGGCTCAAGTGATAAATATCGAATCCACGGGTCTCTAGAGTTACTATTACTCAGCTTCAGTTTATTATTTAGCAAATCAGATTAAGATGAAAGAACTAAAACTACTCTAGCAAACTACAGTTAAAGTTAATCTAATTACAGGTTGGGAACTCACTTAGGTATGATTCCCCATAGCCACTAGCCAGATTAACGATTGATGATCTCTAACCTGTTTCACTTTCATTCACAATGCGGAGAATCCTTGACTAGACCTTGAGTCTCGACTAAAGGAACAAGGCCCTCTTGAGTCAATTGCCTAGAGGGACGTATCCTTC